CCCATCAGAGGCCCACAAGCCCAGAGGAAAAAAATTGTTTCTTTTGTGGGCCTGGCCTGGACCCCCCTGCTCTGTGCGGCCTAGGAACTTGGTGCACTGTGTCCCAGTCACTCCAGCCATGACTAAAAGGGGCCAACGTAAAGGTCGGGTCATGGCTTCAGAGGGTGCCAGCCCCAAGCCTTGGCAGCTTACATGTGGTGTTGGGCCGCATGTTAAGAATCTAGACCCTCTGCCTAGATTTCAGAGGATGTATGGAAATGCCTGGATGTCCAGGCAGAGGTGTGCTGCAGGGACAGAGCCCTAATGGAGAACCTCTGCTAGGGCAGTATGGAACGGAAATGTGGGGTGGAAACCCCCACACAGAGTCCCCACTGAGGCACTGCCTAGTGAAGCTACGAGAAGAGGGCCACTGTCCACCAGACCCCAGAATGACAGATCCACTGACAGCTTGCACCGTGTGCCTGGAAAAGCTGCAGACGCTCAGCACCAGCCCATGAAAGCAGCCAGGAAGAGGGCTGTATGCTGCAAAGCCACAGAGGCAGAGTTGCCCAAGACCATGGGAACCTACCTTTTGCATCAGTGTGACCTGGATGTGAGACACAGAGTCAAAGGAGATCATTTTAGAGCTTTGACTGCCACACTGGATTTCAGACTTCCATGGGGCCTGTAGTTCCTTCATTTTATCCAATTTCTCCCATTTGGAATAGCTGTATTTACCACATGCCTGTACCCTCATTGTATCTAGGAAGTAACTAACTTGCTTTTGATTTTACAGGCTCACAGGCAGAAGGGACTTGCCTTGTCTCAGATGAGACTTTGAACTGTGGACTTCTGAGTTGATGCTGAAATGAGTTAAGACTTTGGGAGATTGTTGGGGAGGCATGACTGGTTTTGAAATGTGAGGACATGAGATTTGGGGAGGGCCGAGGGTGGAATGATATGGTTTGGCTGTGTCCCCACTCAAATCTCATCTTGAATTGTAGCTTCCATATTTTCCACATCATGGGAGGGACCCAGTGGGAGGTAAATGAATCATGGAGGTGGGTTTTTCCCATGCTATTCTTGTGACAGTGAGTAAGTCTCATGAGAACTGACGGTTTTATAAAAGGGAGTTCCCTGACAGAAGCTCTCTTACTTGCCACCATGTAAGATGTGACTTTGCTCCTTATTTGCCTTCAGCCCTGATTGTGAGGCCTCCCCAGCCATGTGGAACTGTGAGTCAATGAAACCTCTTTCCTTTACAAATTATCCAGTCTTGGGTATGTCTTCATCAGCAGTGTGAGAACAGACTAATACAGTACCCTTCACAGTGAACATCTGGATTGGATCTTGACTTTACCTTGAGTTGGGTTACAGCAAATGGGTGCGCCTGTTTTTTTGAAGAAATCTATTTTAGGGCTGTTGCTTGCCTATCCTCTGAGCTTTTATCTCCCTCTATTCGAGTTTTTAGATAAGAATGGGCTCTGTCTTGTGGTTTCTGACCACATAAAAAGTTGCAGTTTATTTTCTCTGAGGTTTGGAGAAAGAGCCAGACAAGAATCATTCAAAGAACAACCTCATCTCAACTTACCTGGCTGCACGTGGCTTCCATGCAAATAGTCCATCATCCAGCTTTCATTTCCCTTGGTTCAGTGTTATCTGTTCTGAACACTTTCAAATTTGCTTTTTTTTCCTAATCTCCTCTCTCCTCTTTTGGCAACACCACTCTTTATCTTGTGGATTTCATCTTTATTACTCACATTTCCTCACAATGAGTGTTCATTAAAATATTTTAAATTAAGATCTTTACTGCCTTTCTAACCGAGCACGTCGGGTCTTCCCATACAACACATTTCTAATTCTTATCACAGAATTTCAGGCAGTTTGTACATTATATTCTATCAAAAACTCTATTCCACTCAAGGTTGTCACAATTCAGAGATTACAGCTTTCTGCAGGGTGTTTTGTTGAGGATATAGTCATATATTCACTTTGTTAGCCGGCAAGCACGGTCCACGAGCCTGTACTTCACACCTCATTTGATATTACAATTCAACAAAAAAAGGGATAAAAAGAAGCAATTATTTATTTAGATGATGGAATGGGTTTTGCGAGATTAGGTAAACATAGATTGTCATGCCAAAGTGACAATCCCTGCCCTTCTTAGGATCCAAGGGAGGTCAGATACTAAATGTGGAGAAAGAGAAGGAGAAAGAGGACACCCTTTCTCCTTTATGAGACGATGTGAGAGTGTCTCATAATTATGTAACTCTGCTTATATAACTACTTTACTTTTTTCCCCTGTAACCTTTTTTTAATCTTTTCTAAAGAGAATACAAAACTGATTCTCACAGAACCAAAAAGTGATAACCATGGCCCAGGTTGCTCTTCAATTTAAAACATTACCACTTGGTCAGTCAAATATATCAACAAAATTAATGTCCTAAGCATAGACCATGGATATCACCATTATGTACCCAGACAGTGATTTCTGACGGCAGGGAGCCAGAAAATCCCATTTGGACTCACAACAGCAGGAGGCATGAGGCTAAGGTAACTGGGCTGGCGCCCACTCCAGCTCCTGTCCCCGTCAGCATCTGCTGCCCACCTACAATCCCTCCCCTATTATCTGCCTAAGCTCTTCCATTAGGGCTGGTCAAAACCCCTGGTTCAGGGCTGGTTATAGTGATTGGTTCAGGGTGGGTGCACAATCTAAGTTATGCCAAACAGAGTCTGTGGTGACCAGCACTGGGACTTGTGCCTGGCCTGTCTGGGGACAGCAGCTTTCTCCCTGAAGTGACCAAGTTAGCAGATGTTTGCTGGGAGCTGCTGGCAGTCATCTTGCCTCCAGGAGGGAAGGGCCTGTCTGAGAAAAAGCCAAACCAGGGAGACAGGTTGCTAAGGATACTGCTTGAGCACCTGACTCTACATTCCTGGTACCAGGCCACCCCCAAACTTCTCCACCTGCAGGGACATAAAGCCACCTGACAAGCCCAGCAACCAAGAGGAAGTCTGCCACTGGGAATACAAACACACAGGGCCCCCAGGCAAAGTAGAGAATCAAGCTACAACCTTTGACAGAAGCCAGCTTCAAAGAGTGTGGCAAACACTGTGAGCCAACCACCCAGCAGGCACCCATTCTCCCATCCTCATTCCCTGGCAACAGAGACCATTTCCCACTACAAAGCCTGGAAATAATACCAGATACTCATTTTCCAAGGGTACCCTGCCTCTTGGGCAAAAGCATGGAACCCACTGCGTATTGATAAGCTCTAAAGGGAAGACTTCCATGGATATTGTTGGAAAGGTTTTCTTCCCTGGTAAAAAGGGACACATGAAGAGAGACCCACCCCCAACCCCTTTCCAGTCTTTAGATATCGCTGGGTGAGTCTGTGATGCCTGGAACAGCTGCAGCCATCTTGTGACCATGAGGAACACAAGCTGGAGAGTGACAGTCAGGGCACTGGGTCCACTGGAGTGGGAAGACAGAAAACACCCAGGAGACACCGTTGTGCTGCTGGATTCACCATCCACGGCACCATCTACCTCTCAATTTCTTTTATGTGAGATGATAAAACCCTGCTGCAGTAGCCACTTTTAGGTAAATATTCTATGACTTGCAACTGAAAGCACCTAAGCAAATGTAAAAATCCTAGGCTCCCTAGAAACTTTAACAACCCAGAATTTAGGAGTGTCTGGCAGGCAGATACAAATTTGCAGGGAAACCATGGGTCAAGCGGGGTTGCGGGCTGAAAACTCTGTCGATAAATGTAGAGAATGATGACCGGAACGTAGAGTTTACAGTAAGAGGCATCCAGATCACTTGGTCAGTGATTCCTAATGGAAGGCTTTGGACCACTCCGTCTGAGTCACTTCTCTCCCTCTGAAAGAGATCTTCAAAAGCCAGCAGAAGAGAGTTCTAGCTGAGGTCGGCTGGGGTCACCCAAGAAGAGACAGCACTTGCCAGCAACTCATTGGAAAAGACCCTCCATTTCTCATGCTCCCCTCTGCCCAGGCCCTCATTCATTCACGGAAGGCCTCCCCCATTCCTAACGCTGCAGGCCTTGAAGAGTTTAAAGACTAGGGAAGAAAGAGAACTGGTTGTGACAATATATGGTGATAAGCGGCAGACTCGGAAGGGGCTCATGTGCTAAGCTGAGGAGCCTGAGCCCCCTCCCAGGAGAAGTAGGAGCCAGAGGTTTTAAAGCAGGAGGCCACATGTCCAGCAAAACTTGTTAGCCCTCCCAGTGAAGCAATCTCATAGAAGACTGGTGTTCAATGAAAGAAGAAGAAAATAGAGGCAACGGGACTGTGTAGGGAAGGCGGTTGCAACACAGGTGAGAGCTCTTTCTACCTGCCAGGTGTCCTGATATGAGGTGACACGTGATCACCTGTCTCTGGGTCCCAGGTGAGTTCAGCCCTGTAAAGCCCAAGGTTGGTGTCTGAGTGGGAGAAGACAGGCTGCCTTCCAGCAATGCCAAGTTCATTCAAATTAAGATTCTGAGGCCATGTGCCAATTCCCAAGTGTGATATCAGCAAAATGACTATATTTAAGCACTAAGGGACAAATGCCCAATAGCTAAAGCTACCCTCGGTTTACTCATTACTAAGTATATTTTCCCCTTGCCTCTTAAATCATTTTTACTTCCCCCATTTCCTTCTTCAACTCTTCGCTGCAAACAATAACAATAGTAATAATAAAGATAAAAATTTAAAATGCGGTTACCAAACTCGACGCTGTGACAGATGTGAACTCTGGTGATTTTTGAGACTGCCGACCTAATTAGGTCATTTATGTGTGAAGAGCATCAAGGATAGAAGCCTCAATACCGTGGCATATCTCAGTAATGGAGCCATTCAGAAGCGGCACGGCTGAGCTACACTGATGAGTGCAAAGGAAACCATTGCCCATTAAATGCAGAGGCATCGCTTTATCCACACGCACATTATTTTGCTATCAGCTCCGGCAGCCACTCCCCTCCTCCCCGCTGCCGAGGTGCTTTGGGGATCTCCACGCTTACCTGCTCTGCGTGTCCGGGCGATGGCCCATGCAGGTGAGGGTGGCCGACGTCTGAGTGCTGCCATTATCAATCTCCTCCTGGACTGCCCATTGGTCCTCACTGCTGACTCTCACTGCCATTATCTTCACACCTGCTGCCGCCTTAATTCTGTGGGGTGGGAAAACAATGATACTATATATAATAAAACCATTTTAGTTTGAAACAGGTAATAAAATATGGCACTAGAGCAGATGACCGGGAAAGTAGGTGTAACGTCGCCCCCTTCCTCTGGGAGATGTGGGGAAGGGTGGTGGCAAGTGACTTTCCTTTAAAAACGAAGTGTCTTGTAATTTTTACAAGTGCCTGGAAGTAGGAGCCCCAGCTTTTGCCATGTGCGTTAATTTTCTGTTTAATCAGTGTGCTGGGAACCAGATCACTTGCTGCTCCAGGGACCCCAGCAAGATGCAAATGAGACAGATGCCTCGGGGCAGGAGAGATGGATCTGCAAGGCCTGTTCTTCACCTGGAGATGGAGAAGAGTCTTTAAGACGCAGGGTGGGCTGTACAAGGCCAGAAGATCGCACAGCCCAGGGGATGGAAGAGGAGGCCATTGCACTGGGCACTCTGGGGGCAGGAATGGACAGGAGCACCCAGTCCTCAGGTGTCTGAAGAACAAACGTGGCATTCAGGCGGGATAACGGGACCAGGTGCTGCCTGGCACAATGTTCACAGAACACAGTTCCACCAGGAAGAATCAAAGACCCAAGTGTGTTGCCATTGAGAAAAGGCCAAGGAGAGTTCACAGTCTGGGTTTCCTTCTTTTTGTACACTGCTCCTGAAATGATCCTCACGTAGCTACTAACCAGAAAACGTCTCCTCGATAACAGCGGGGAGTCCATGGACAACATCCACGTTCTCCCAGGGCAACCTGGGGGCTTGGCCCAATGCTGTGGATGCATCTGGAGGGACAAGGATGAAGGCAGGCCGTGGGGTGCCCACTGCTTACTATGCCTTCACTGAACACAGGTATCACCACAAGGGCCTGCTGGGACTTCTGGGGATGTGAACTAATGCTGTGAACTAATGCTGCAGAGGTCAGTGTAGGCTGGGCTGGGAAGGTGACCAGCTCCCTTCTGCTTCCCAGAAGCCTGTGGACCCACAAGAAAAGGCCCCAGTGAGACCCTGGGCACCCTCTCCCATGAACAAAAAAGGGATACCAAAGGCAGCCAAATATTATATGGAGGAGTTAGAGGAGTGTCAGCAAAGACAGGTGCATTAAGCCAGACATCCCAGCACCACCAAGAAATGATTGATGGGAAGCAAAGATTCCCTCCAAGATTAATTAATCAAATCCACACATAGCAGTAGGTCTAGGACACTATTTAAAAACAAGTGAATGAAAGTGAAAAGACAACCTACAGAATGGGAGAAAATATATGCAAACTGTCTATCTGATAAGGTCCTAGCATTCAGCATATATAAAGTACTCCTACAAAATCACAACAAAAGCAAATAACATAATGAAAAACTCGGCAAAGGTCTTGACTAGACATTTCTCCAAAGTTATATAATCGGCCAATAAACACATGAAAATATCCTCAACAACATCATTAGTCATCAGGGAAATGCAAATCAAAACCACAATGACATACCAATTCATACCCATTGGAATGGCTACAATAAAAAAGACAGATACTAAGTGTTGGTGAGGATGTAGAGAAATTGGAACCCTCATGCACTGCTCTTGGGAACGTAAAATGGTACAACCACTGTGGAAAACAGTTTTCCGGTTTCTCCAAAAGTCAAACATAGAATTACCATACAGCTTAGCAATTCCACTCCTAGGTATATACCTAAATGAATTGAAAACAGGCACTCAAATAAACACTTGTAGACTCATGTTCACAGCAGCACTGTGGGCAATACCTAAAAGGCTGAAACAACTCAATGCCCATCTATGATGGATGGATAAATAAAATGTGGTCTATCCATACAATGAAATATTATTCAGCCATAAAAAGAGATGAAGGTCTGACACGTGCCATGTGATGAACCTCGATAACGTGATGCTGAGTGAAAGAAGCCAGACACAAAAGGCCACATAGTAAATGACTGCATTCAGATGAAACATACAGAAAGTAAATCCATAGACAGAAAGCAGACTGGTGGTTTCCAGGGACTGGGGAAAAGTGAGGCCGGGGGAAATGGGGAGTAGCTGCCTAGCTAACGGGTACCCAGTTTCCTTCTGGGATGACGACAGTGTTTTGGAAGTAAACAAAGATGGTGGTCCAACAGCACTGTGAATGTATTAAATGCCAGTGAAATGGCTAATTTTATGTGATGTAAATTTTACCTCAATACAAAAAAGAAAATGGGGGGAAAAAAACCACAGGTGAAAAATGACCCCGCCCAGGAATGACTGAAACTTTAAAAAAATAGAATGTATCAAAATCAAATCAAAACACCTATAAGGCCCAAGGAAGGCGGCCTCTCATGGCAGAATTCAAGCAGGAGAGAGATTCTCAAACCTGAGGAAAGCCCCAACTTTACCCCCCACCGTAAGGAACCCTGAGGCTGTAGAATTAGGGAATTCAAATGTCTGCTTATCTCATTGAAGAAAATGGAATGTTTCTGCCTCCCTTTCTCCCCTTCCTGTAGGTCTTTACACAGATTCTAAGACATCATTCTGCTTGCTCCTGCACACGCCAAAAAGTCACTGCAATGCCTGCAATTCCCGGAGACTCAGATGCCATGCCTTGCCTTGACTTGATCATTCTTCTGCTGAATTCTGGGGTCCAAATCTGCTACTTACAAAGCTTTCTTTCTTGCTGTCATGATGTTCCAGGAATTAATTTATGCAAACCACAAATAGAGGCATCCTGTTCTGTCCCTGCCCCCAACCATCCCATCTTGTTGCCAAAGGGGCAACTGCAGAGAATGTTCCAGAGTCGTATCTAGAGAAACAGAGTCCCTTCCGCTGTCCACACACCGCCTCCTTCTTATCGGTACTTGCTACCATAATAGCTTTTCTCACTCTCCCACAGAGTTCTTTCACCAAGCAGCCGTGCGGCCAGGCCTGTCACCGTTGTCCTCAACGCCCAGATGAACAAATCAGACCCTCCCACCTGATAGTGCATGACCGGCTGAAGGTCACACAGCTGATTCTGGCAGAGCCAGGATTCGAAACCAGATCCCCTCACTCCAAATCCCACTCCTTTCTCTCATGCACCGGTCCATTAACAGAAGATTTCTTTTATGACCCACATTGCATCATTTATTGCCTGACAAATGCCTCAATAGTTAAGTCTGGAGACAATAACGTCTCACATTTTAGCTCCTTAATTGAGCCCTCATTGCAGGCCCCTCTCCCTTCAGTCTTGGGGATACAACACGTGCTCACTCAAGGATCTTCTGTGAGATTTTTGTTCCTTCTTTTATTCTGACCCAGAACTAAGACACAGGTCCCCTCGTCCTCAGGGGCTTCCTCACTCATCAGCTCTGAGCTGATTCGTGGGATTCCGTGCACAGTGCTTCTTGCACTGGGCTTCTGGCTCTGGTTTATCCCAACAGAGACTCTCACAGTGGGCCAACTCTTCCTCAGAGTCTGAGAAGCAGAGGGTCCAGTGCGGGGAGACAGTCCAAGTCTTCCACAGAGCATTTCCTAGCATGGGGGGTGCCCTGGCAGGGGCTGAGGAAACACAGTGCTTGCCATTAATTTGTACTCACTGGTCCTTAACAGGTCCAGGGGACCCGAGGAAGGCAGGGAGGCAGCACTTGGGACAAGCTGACCGTTGCCTGATAAGAATGTCTTTGTTTACCTGGGGCCTTGGTGAAAAAAAAGCTCTAGATGCCAAGCTTGGGTGAGCTCCCCCGGTTGGCAGCACTCTGTGCCTGTTGTTGAACATCAGCTCTGGGAGAAGCGAATGCTGTCCACACGACTCCACTGGGAAAGGTCAACTGGGAGCTTGCCCCTGGACCTCTACTGGATCCTACTCTATGCACCGCTTCCCTTGGCTGAACTTAGTGTGCATCCTTTCACTGGAATAAACAATATTTATAAGTACAACAGCTTTTCTGAGTTCTTTGGAACCTGAGGGTGGTCTTGGGGACCCTCCAGACTTGCAGATGACATCAGAAGTGAGGGTGGTCTTGAGACCTTCCCAGCTTTTCAGTGGGTGGGTCAAGTCTTTCCCTGTCTGCCATGGGCGGGGGCTGGAGAAGGAAGCGTGCAATTAGAACTCATGCCATCGAGGCCGTGCAATATTTTTATGCCCCATGTCACGCACCCAGTCCTCCAGTGTTCAAAGAGGATTTCTTGACTTTCAGGTATGACGCATGAAGCGCTTGGAAATGCAAAAAGGAGCATGGCTCAGTTCAGACCAGTGAGTCTCAGATGGTTCTGGCCACAGACTGAGACTGTAGCTCACCTTCCCCCAGTACCCATTTCACAGTAGAAAAAGAACTTGTTCACAAATGCTGAAATGTCTCGAGCCCCTTCTGGAAGCCAGGCACTGTCCGCCACCTTGCACTGCTAATACACGGACACCTCGTGCAACCCCGCGGGGGTAGTATCGCTTCTGCTTCCATTTTCCACATGAGGAAACTTGATGAGCGTCACTAGACAGGCAAATTGTGTGGGTACGACCAGGGGAGGGAAGTTTTGCATTCTGCTTTAGCCAGAGGAGATAAAGAAGATTCCTGTTTGGACAGTAGAAGGTACTCACAGTCTACTGGAAATTCACTAGCAAAAGGATCTAGTTAAGCATGTCTACTAACGTCTGAGTTAACCAAACAGCCCACAATGGAAGAACTTAGTTCCTTATTAGTTCAAGAAACTGAACTCTGAACTAATAAATATTCCAAAAAAAGTAAGGAAAGCTATAATTTGAATTCACAACCATCTGATGACAATACTACCAAACGCCTTGATGATAATAAACTGTCCTGTCCAAACTCTGGCAGCTGCAAGATGCCAGCAGCCATGTGCATCCTAGCGCCGCTCAGGAATATTGTGGATTATAATAGCTGAGCTTTACTGAGGCCACTCCCCTGAGCCAGACACTTTCCCAGGGGCTTTGCATACATTTTCTCGTGCTTTACCTGTATCAACATATTTAATCCTCTTTACAGCACTATGAGTAGGTCTCATTATCCTAGATTTACAAATGC